ATAATATTTTTAATTGTATTTATAATTTTCTTAAGGCAAACTTACTTACCTCGTTATTTCTGACTTTTCAACTCTGGCTAGTAAACAGCTAAGTTGCGCAGCACTGTGCGCAGCTATCAATAACGGGGTGTGGGTCATTAAATTGAACTTCGACTCGAACTCTTGGCCCATGGCTCGCTCACTCACTCGCTCGCACGTCCTTTCGCCAGTTGCCAACACAGTTAGAGCAAAATTAACTTGTTTCTCATATGTCTGTGTATGTGTGTGAGAGTGTATAGTTCTCCTACCCTAAGCGCCCGCTCGCTTTTGCCTGGTTAGGTCATGGCGTGCTCAATTAAATTACTGTTTATTCTTCGCACCTGTGTGCGCGCATTGCAGATAAATCGCTGATTGATGGCGATGGAACAGTAAAAATTAATATAATTACAGTATTGTCCGACTAAAGTGGACATGAAATTTGGTACTCTTCGATTATATTTTTTTAATACTATCAACTAAACTCAAATTTAGTTAATAGGAATTCTCAACTCGGTCGACTTCTGTTGGACTGTAGATTATCGGTTAGGCAGCACTCACTGTATTTGTATTCCATTAATAATTTTTATCAATTTCCTTCTTTTTTTCAGCCACGTCAATTGTCAATTAAATGGCAAAGCCACGCAGAAAACGCTTCCGTTTGAGGTGCAACCAGAAAGCAGTGAAAGCTCCGGTGGTGCACTATAATGGCTGCAGTAGCTAATCGTGCCACAAGCAACAACAACAGCAACAGCAGTAGCAGCAGCAGCAGCAACAACAGCAACAAGAGTAACAGAAGCACTAGCAACATGTCTAAACGCTACTTAGGCATACTCTTCTTCTGCTGCTTTCTGTTCATTTGGCGAACAATCACAGATGAGCCACCGCCAGCTGCAACAGCAACATCCCAGCAGCAACAGCCGCAACTGCAATCGAGTGCCAATGGCAGTAAACCAAACCAAATAATACACGACCCTAGTCGCACTCAGCCACTTAATAGCAACCTTAGTAGTTATTCGAATTATTATTATTATAGCCCTAGCCTATTTAGTCTAGATAATGCGGCGACGCCCGTACCATCGCCCACAGCAGCTACATCATTCCAGCCGTCGCATCTGCCTTCGGATGCCAGCCAGCTGATCGATCTGCATCACTTTGGCTATCTGATGGAGCAGCCTGCGTGTGAGCCGCACATCCTGGCTCTGATCTTGGTTCATACGGCGCCGCGAAATGCCGAGAAACGTTTGCTCATACGCCAAACGTGGGGCGGATTGGCCACAATAGCAACGCCGTCACCGTCGGCGTCAACGTCAACATCGACGCCATCGCCACTGCGCGTTGTCTTCCTATTGGGAGCCGTGCCCCCAACGGAGCCACAACTGCAACACTCACTGGAGCAGGAGAATGCTCGATTCGGGGATATGGTGCAGGGCAACTTCCAGGATGCCTACCGCAACATGACCTACAAACATGTGATGGCACTTAAGTGGTTCAGCAGCCACTGCTCGCACGCTCAGCTGCTCATCAAGGTGGACGACGATGTCTATGTGAATACACCGCAATTGCACAAGCTGCTGCGTGAGCAGCAACAGCAACAGCAACCGCAGCCGTTGCARCTGCAACTGCAACTGCAACAGCAAACGCCCCAGCCCAACATGAATCGAACGCAGTCGCTGCGCTCATTGCTGCAGCAACCGCACGAGCTGCTCTTCTGCAAGCCTGTGCTCAAGTCGCGTGTGAAGCGCTCCTATAGGGTGAGTAGAAGTGAGAGTGAGATAGACGGTATAAGACGTATAGGTATACCTGAAAGTTAACCAGGTGCTATTGACTGATAGCTATCATTGGAGGAGTAAAATTTAGACAAGTTCTGACATGTGTCATTCGCTTGTCATTATATTGAGCTCAGTTTTCTGAAAATTCTGTTATAATATCGTTCCAAATGCCTTTTCGGCTATATTAAATAAAGCATAATTCGTCTATGGCTTCATATATAAAATGTTAGCTAAATAGGCTTAAGCTTTATAATGCCTCAGGGCTTGATGCGTTCTAATATCTATCACAGACTTACAGTTTAGACCAGTTTTACCCAACTATACCAATTTTACTCATTATTATTATATTATATAAAGCTAGAGTCAAGCATAGACAATTGTTCCTGAGCTCCATTAAGTATAACATCAAAAACTTCCTGTCACGCATCAGAGCGGAAGCTCTGCATTAATAGAAACCTTGTTTAGTTAATCAATTTAGCTACAGTTATGCTCTATTTGCTTTCTTCCTTATTCCTTATCCAAGTGAAAAACATATGAACACCAATCGATAAACGCCATCTAGTGTTATATTTTAATACTAATCTCTTCGAAATACTCAACACTCACACTAATTTCTCTCTCTTCTTTCTTTCACAGTCAAAGTGGCGCGTCAGTTTTCGCGAATATCCCGCCCATTATTATCCGCCGTACTGTCCGGGCTTTGCGATCGTCTATTCGCCGGATGTGGTGCAGCGTCTGTACCAGGCGGCGCAGCACAGCGACTACTTCTGGGTAGATGATGTGCATATCACTGGTGTCCTGGCACAGCGTACAAATACAACGATAACCACACTGCAGCCGTATGTGCTCTATGAGACGGACTGTGAGCGTTTGCTGAGCGGCGAGAGTGATTTGAGGCAGCTGGAGTTTCTGTTCACGTGGCACAGCATCTCGCCGGAGCAGGTGAACAGCTTGTGGCAGTTGCATGTGGCACAGAACTATACAACTGTGCAATTGGAGGCAGATGTCGGCCCGGAGACGGGCCTCAGCTAGCTTTAAATATATATTGGGAATTTGTTTTGGCTGTTTTTAATTCTCTTTACATTGTATTCAGGGTTCGTCTCTCTTTCTCTCTAGATATTTAATTAAGCTGTTAATCTAGACTCTAGTGTTTAGTTTATTAGTTATTTAACTTAGTTAGCATTTGATAGTTGAAGATGATTAGAAGGGGGAGGAGGATGATGATGAAGAAGAAGTTGATAAACATTGCAAGTCAAGTGAACCACCAACCACCTGCCTACAATCATTCGTATATATCATATTTGATAGCATATATAACTGAAGCATAACGATAAGTCATTTATAGAAAACAAAAGCCTCTCTGGGTGATAAATACAAACAACACACACATACATACATACAAACATTCGTATATGCACAATTCTTAAAAAAAATATATATAGCAAAACTGAGGAAAAACATAAGAATTTTAATCCGAATATAAATGAGAAATAATTGCAAAACATGACAAAACAGCAAATGTTTGGTCTGATCAAAATAAAATTGTTTAACTTATTTTGTATATTGATAGATAACAAAAATGAAGATATATATACATATATATAATGGCATGTGAAATCTGTTGAACGTACTTAGTGAATCAAATGAAAATTTACCTATGATGTATTTTTTGTATTCGTCTATAGCAAAAAGTAAAACTATCTAATTTTTTTTATTATTCAATTGAATAGAACAAAAAACAAAAATGAACGAAATACAAATAAAAAAAGTGAGTCAAAAGAGGGAACATTTAAGCCAGGAACGTTAACACAAATATCAAAATGAGAACGAAGGAAAATGAAAAATGACAAAAAATATATATGAAAAATTTGTAACAAATGAAATTTATAAATGTCTAAATGAAATTAACTAAATGTTCAAGTTTGTCAAAAATTATATACATACATGCATACTCATACATATATGGATATATATGTGTATATACAAAACGAAAATAAAGAAACAAAACTTACAAATTGTACAATGTAAACGATATAAAAAACGTAAAATGTTGAATTTTTGTGAAATGGCATTGAACTGCTTGGCGGAAGGGCAATGTGAAAAGCAGTTTAAAAAGGGTGAGCTGCGCTGTCACTATTAGAATGAGTGGCATATCATTCAGCTTTCTGGCTTACATGTTTGAATAATTACAAAGCAGTGTTTTTCTTTTCTTAGAGATGTTAAAGCAGTAAACGATAATCGTTTTCATCCAAACGGTAAAATTCAATTTCAAAACTCATGCGGTGCATAAGGCAGTGCAACTGCTTATATGTATGTCATTGGACATCTGACTTCTGTACCATTCAGCTTTCGTGCGGCTACTCAGCGCGGGCATATTTGAATTTTATTTTTTTCAACTTTGCTTAGAGCCAAATCAAATTTATTTACAATCAACAAGCCAATACTAATTGCGGTGTGCGAAAAGCCTTGAAAATTACACAGTTTGTGAATTATTAAAACAGCGCTTGAAATCGAAACAGCTGCACTCAAGGACATGCGAAAAATATCAGCTTATCTTTTCAATACGCCACGTTGAACAAACACTCGAACCTTAACATTGACCGCATGTATATTTATTTTAAGCCCACGATTTGGAGTGCATGCGCCAAAGGTTTGCTTTTAGTTTTTTTGCTCCCTCGTCTATATGACTGTGATAGGCCCCACACGCCCACAATTGTTAGAGTGTGACGTCCTTTGGCCTTTTCACAGCGCTAATGACAATGTCTGTCTACTTGCCGCAAATTGTTGCATGTCCAGCGTGGTTCAGTGTGCGCTCACTGGTCAGCGCGTGTGGACATCAGAAACAGGACAAGGCTTGTTGAATTGCTGCCGTTGGATTGTTTGTTTTCGTCGACTAGTTGCCAGCAAAATGGGTTCGGTAAGCCAATTGAGATTTACTTTTAGTGTTGTTCTTGCTGCTGCGTATTTGTTTCAGCTGTTTCTGGGGCTTAAACAAAGCAAGACAAAGCAAGTGGCACAGAACAACAGCAAATGCTTGAAGTATGTTGTCGCCGCCTTCGTTAGCTGCAAATTATTTACAAGTGCAGTCAGGCAACACAAACTTCAGCTGCAGCAACAATTACGTTCCACATGGCACAAACTCTACTCGGAAAACGTTGCGTGGATGCTGTTTACGCGAAAAGCTCGCTATTGAAGCTTGAAATGTGTGTCAAGTTGTGAAGTTCGAATGGCTTGTACACATTCCAGTAGCAGCAGTAGCAGCCGTAGCAGCGCAGGAGTCGTTGCCCCTGCGAGAAGCGCGCCGGCGCTCAGAAGTATGCTACAAAATGTTGCGGCCGCAGCTTCTGCTCCTGCTGCTGTTGCTGCTGCTGCTGCTGTTGCTGCTTCTCTTATCTCGGCTGCTGTGTGCTCGTCGGCAGCTGTCGAACTTCTGTTTGGCCAGTTTTGCTCAATTTTGTCATCTTTGCCGCTGTTGTTGTTGTTGCTGTTGTGGCATTTTAGTACAAGCTGATGCTCGGGCTGGTCGCTTCGTGCGGCACGTCGCCTCGGCCTGGCTATAAAATGTTTTGTTTTTCTGCAGTTTGTTGTTAGTGCTGAACGGTGAACGGGCAGCGTTTGGTTGCCATCATCATCATCAACAAAATCTCTCGCACACACAGCATATCGAAAGAACGTACTTGTTCATAAGACGCTATCTTCACACGTCTCTCTCAATATACACATATGTATCTGTGTGTGTGTATGTGTGCGTGAGCTAAAAATAGCGCCTGAAATCAAGTGCCAAGTGACCAAAAAACGAAAAAATAACAGACACAAAAATTACAACAAACCTGGCAAAGACAATCAGAGGCGAAGACAAAACAATAACAAAGAGTGCAAATTGAATAAAAACAGAAACCGACGAATTTTGATCAAGTGCAAATAGCGCAATAGAGGACAAAAATCACAACAGGTGTTTCAGCTTTAATTACGAATTAATATACCTAACACTTTCGACCTTCACACACACCTATGTGTGTGTGCATCTGTGTGTGTGTGCTTAACTGATTTGCTGCTCGCACGTGCAACAAAAGATGGTTGAAGAATTTCTCGAGAAATTGCCAGAAATCGACACACGTTACGAGGTAAGTGGCGAATGCGGCTTCATCTATCTGGCTGCTGCTTCTTCCCTTCTACATTTCAGCATATGCTGCAACCATTTCGCTGCGGGTAATCGCATTGCCATGCCAGGCGAGGCACAATAGTCACTCCTGTCGCGCGTATCCAGCTGTGCCACTGAGGCAAATAGCAAATAGCTAAACTGGAGCGGCTTTTGTTTCGCACAGCCACCTGCTCGACATCCTGTCGTGCTGTCGTCCTGTCGTCCTATCGTCCCCATTATCCTGGCCCAGCTTAAGCCGTCGCTTCGCGCTGTTTGTTTTGTTCTTCAAATTACATTTCCCTCTAACAAGAACTCACATAAACGCGCTTCGAGGCGAATGTAGGCCGGATATTTAATCAGTTTGCAGCAGCAGCATTTGCTTTACGGCTTTCGCGGCGCACTTTTAATGCAAGTTTTAGTCAAATATTTGGCAACTTTTGCTGAGCCACGCTCGAGTTGGCATTCGCTGTGCTCGCTCGGCTCAGCCAGCAGCGGAAAGCTTACATCAGCACAGGCTTAAGAAACTAATTCGCAATTGTAGCTCAAACTTTTCCTGGTTTACCTGAGCTCAGTTCATTTTCCTTGACTAGCACAAAGAAGCTAGAGTGGAACATAAGGAAATGCACCTTTTTAAGCTTACCTCTCCATATGCTTAAGCAAAATCAACTCATGAATGAGCATGACGCAGCACAGACCTTCAGCTAGTTTCAACAGTGCCTTTGTTTGCTATCGACATTGCATCAGTGCTTTGAGTTTATAATCAATTTGCGGTAAGCAAAGGATTTTGCTTCGAGCTCAACAGCTCGAAATACAAAGTTTAAAGTTCATTACAGTCATTGCTTCAAGCTGAAATTCCATAGACAGAGATTTACTTGCAGCCAAGTTTAAACTTTTAGCTCTATTATTTACTCTTGTTGCACTTTAATAGCCATTTTTAGGATTATTTATAGTATGTATATGAAATTACTATAAGAACTCTTTATTTAGACATAGACAGAGACAGATGAAAGCTGAGATTATAGTTGTGCGCTTATACAGTCAGCTTGGCTAACCTTTCTGCATACCTTAATAAGAGCAGAAATATTTAAAACAAAGATCTTAATATATATTTTATATATTTTAGTAAAATATTTTACAATGTGCTCAGCCGTTATACCAAATATTTAATTTACAACAAACTTTAGATAAGAACTATTAGACAAGAAAATATATGTAGACCATAATATATAATTATAGAAATGTTAAATAGTTTTTTTTTTTTTTTTTTCATTTTTAGTAGTTTCCATTATTTCCTTAGTTAATGGATAGATATATCACCTGATATATCAAAAACAAATCTCACAAATAACTGTTAAACGTAATAATTTTCATACTCAGTCGCTCTTGCCTTGAGCAAGCTACTTTTATACATTTATATATACATATATTCTAATCAATCAGTTCATCACATTTCGAACCCAGTTAAATTCCTTAATATTTCCCTCAAATTGCTTTCAACGTATTTTGCTCCATCGCACTACTAATTGTATTTATTTATACATACTCTACTCAATCAGTTCGTTGTTTATCGAACCTGGTTAAACGCTTCGCAAACTAATCAAAAACTAATTAAACTCTATTGATTATTTGCATCAGATGCCATAAGGACAAATCCCCAAAGTAGTTCATGTCACTCATAGCCAAATCTTACAATCTGCCCGTCGATATCTAAGCATGCCAAAGGCGAAAGCCGCTGAGAGTTAGGACAACAGCCGACAGCTTAAAAGCTAATTAGCGCACTTGCGACCCGAGGCATGAGAGGGCCTAAAACTACAGCAAGTCAGGGCCAACAAACAGTTTAGCGCGCACGTTAACTTTATTAGCCGCAGACAACTAAATCAACAAGATATAAGTATGTGCATATGTGTGTGTATATATGGGTTTATATATATATATGTGTGTGTATATATGTCTGTATATACTTAATCAGGGAATGCTTTTTAACAATGGCCATTCACAAGCCTTTTATGCCCAGCTAACTGGCGTGCAAACAATGCCTGCAAACTAATAAACTTGTGAGGCGCATCTACTAGCGCTATGTGTGTGTGGCCTTTGTGTGTATGTGTGTGTGTGTGTGCAATCGCGATCAATAAAAGTTAATTATTCAATACAACAAGCTATAAACTTTCACTCGCACTAATCCAAACATAATGTGTGCGTATATATATCTGAGTATATATGTATGTATGTGTGTATGTGTGTGCCGTGTGAGCCTTTGTTTGGCTTACAGCTGTGTGGGGCGACTAACAACCCGGCATCTGGCCCCACCTTTTCTGTGCCTTCCCTTCCGCTCGGCTCTGTCAGCTGCGCTCGTTGCGCTCGCCACAGTCGCAATTTACACAATTTAACCGTTAATTTACATTACAAAGTAGCTGCCCCAACCATCCAGAGAAAAAACAAACAATCGAATAGCAGCCGTTAGGTCTCCTACCCAAAACTAAATTAAAACTTTAAAAACATTTTACTAACTGACTTCACAAAGTTAAACTGAACATATGGCATAGCTCAGAGCTTGGCTAACAAGTGCCCAAGCACTGAGAGAAATGCTGTGAATAATTAATGTGAATATTGATTGTTATAGGGTATATGGAATATGAATTCCTAGTGCTTAACTTCCTTGCACTAAGTAGACTTTCAAGGCTAAAATCTAATATGTCTGCTCAGACTTAGTACACGTGTCTCTACAAATACTACAACAAATAGTGCAAGCTATGTAAATTAATTTAATGAGCTTGTACACTGTGCAACAATGAGGCTATAAATGCGTATTTAAGCTACCAACATATGACAAATAAATTATTTATGAATTTGTTCATTTATTATGCTGACTACATGAGAAGTATGGCTTATGCTATTAACTTTATTATTATTTTTTTTTTTTTTACTAGTCGTCGTACTGAAAATACTTTAAATAATTAATTATTATAAAATAGGTATTGAGTTTGTAGAAAATATATATAATTTTCAAATACAACCTGATTATTATAGACTTAATTTATAGACCTAGTAGCATTCACTCGCATTTTTTTTTGCCGTGTAGCCATTTGCCATTTCTGGGCTAATTGAAACTCAAATGTAGCGCTATAAATTCTGCTCAAGTTTTGCTGWTTAGGCCACATAAATTCGCAAATTTATTGAACATCAGCCACATCAGCATCATCATTATCATCACCATCATTATCATCATCACCACCATCAGCATTACAGGTGGCAAAGGTATACATAGATTTGTTGGCAGCCATCAGCGACTGGCTGTGCTAGCTATGCTCTGTTGCTGCTCTGTTTATATGCAAACAGAAAAGCAATTTGTGTGGACATTTTAATTGAAGCCTCGTCTACAGCTACCTGTATGAGACACACACTCAGACACACATAGACTCGCTCACACATGTGGATGTAGTGTACTTCATGGCAGTTGGCATGCAGCCAGAAACTGTGACAGCTCGCATGGCACTGAGGCAGGCAAATGGTCGTTGAGAACTTTGTCACATTCTGAGCAGCCAAAAAAACATTTTCAATATGCAAAAGTTGTTAATATGTTAGGCAGGCGTTAAGAGGCAAAGCATGCCTCTTCAATTCGGCTTCTTATACACACACTCCCTCTCTCGCTCTCTTTTCTGAGCACGTTGCGTATGTGTAATATGCTGCATAATGCGTGTTTAGATCAAAATTGAATTGCGCATTTTACATGGCGTATACGTGATGCTCATTTTGACAGCCCGCATTGCCTCACGCTCGCTCCTGCTGCCGCTGCGACAGATTAAACTGAAAGTTATTGTCAATTCGGCGTGTTCCAGCTGAAAGATGAAGGCGATAGCCCAGTGGCCAGACACAAAATAAAAATAGAGAAAAAGAGAGAGAAGTAATCAAAAATAAATCATTCGATTTGTGTTTCGCTGCTGCGCATTGTTGGCCTTTGATTTATGAGCGAAAAGCATTTGGCTATTTACTGTCTGCATGTTTTGCATTTATTTATGCTATTTGCTTTGGCTTTCGGCATTTGCGGCATTCGCCATTGAATTGCAAAATTTATAGAAATTTGCAATTTTATTGCTTCATTATGGAGACAACGCATGAATATGATTCATGAATGGCAAATAAAGAGAAAATTGAGAGTGTTTTGGATAGTTGAGTATTTGTACTATGTAATTGTTGGAAATCAGTGTAGATAGATATATTAGTGGGAAGAAGTTCATTTGCTTACGCTGGTTTTATTTAGCTTTCTGCTGCATTGAAGCTACCTCTCTCTCTTCCATTTAAGCAATTGAAATTAAGTCACATCAATCAATTCATATTTGTATTTATACTTTTAAGTGCAGCTGAAGTTGATCGATGGGCAAAGATTGAATTTCAATAAATATATTGAAATTAACAGTCCATAAACTGTTTTGTTTTGCCATTTGAAATTGTCTCTGGCAATTGATTAGAATTGTGAAAATCCATTGCATAAATTGTAATCGAAGATGTGAGATCCCTGATCAAATACATAATATCTCTATTTAGCGAAAGCTCAAATATACAATATGTAAGAGTTCCATAAAAATTACTAGAGTTTTAACTTCAATCATAGTTCCCAGTCTCTTATGTAGTTTCTCCAGGCACAAGATTTTCTGGTGAATGCAAATTGATAGAGAAGTTCACATATCACACTTGATTTTGCCAATCGAAGCTCACATATATGTAAGCACTGCCAAACCATCAGCTAAAAGCATATTACTTTCCCTCCTCTATCTCACGAATGCGCAATGCTCAATGAAATGAGAGTCGAGCCAGAGTGAACTGCAAATATATCAACAGTTTATCAGCACAGAATCAATCATTTGCCGCAAAATACATAGAGACTGTAGCTGGTTTTATTCACATTTCGTGTCTGCTGACCCGTTGGCTCGTTTGGTTGAGCTCAGCCCGAATGTCTTCTTCACACAAAATATTTTATCTGCTAATTCCCACATTGGCTCAACGTTCAGCTGGGTAAAATGCGTTTATTACAGAACTAATCCAGCAGGACAATGGCCAATTCGGCTCACTGCAAATTTCATTAATAAATGTCGACGAGCGCACAGAAAATAATCCATTTTACTCAATGCCCCCCAATGAGTGGGGGCAAACAGGCTGCGGGAGAGAGAGGGAGAAAGAGAGAGATAGGGATAGAGGGAGCGAGAGAGCGGGACATCGGGATGGTTGAGGGCGAAAATGTGGCAACTGAATGCAAACAATAAACATTGAAAAATATCACAGCTCGACGGGTAAGCGCAGCAACGACAGCAGCAGCTGCTCCTGATGTTTACGCTGCTGCAGGCACTGCAAAGCCGAAGCCAAAAGCGTGGACGTGGGTGACGGCGGGAGGGGGGTGGGGATGGTTGACGTGCGGTAGTGCCAGCATTTAAAAACCGCATACGGCAAATGCTTTTGTTGGCACAATATGAAAAGTGCAAAGGGAACAAAGACAAAAAAAAAAAGGGGAAAAAAAAAACAATTTATCTACTTCATATTTTTTGGGTGAAACAACCGCAGCGAACAGCATGAAGCGCTGAGTGAATGTGTGGGCTGAACAACTGGATTCATAAAGTGTACAATCAAAGAAAAAGTAAACCACAGTAGAGCAAATCTTTACCGAAGATTAAATATCCTTTTGTGACGGCAGCGCATATAGAGCAGATGAGCCAGGGCTTAATGCCTGGCTGTCACATATGTGTCAATTGTTTATATGGTATTAGCTGGTGAATCGATTTGAACGGGAGTTAGTTGATATTGCAAATCAGAAATCAAATCACATATTTTGATTTGCAATATTCATAAATTTCATTTATCTCTTGCTTTGATGCAGATGCTTATGAAATAAAATCAATCAGAATCTTTGAAAATAAATTAATTAATTAA